CGACCTCAAGAGGGTAGCTTTTACAAGGAAGGTAGCCGAGGGTGATGTGGGGCCATCAAGTAAAAGGGCCAGGACGGGTGAACTTGGCATCACATTCTCCGACGCGGATTTGACAGGCGTGGTGACACCTTATAACGACGCCCTCGTCTTGACCCTGAGGATAGGGAGATTCGATGTCAAGAGGATTTTGATAGACTTAGGGAGCTCCTCGGAGGTGATGTACTTCGAAACTTTAAAACGGATGGGTCTTGGCCCCAAAGACCTCACCAAAGTCAGGACACCCCTCATCGGGTTCAACGGTTCATTCGCCTTGCCCGTGGGGAAAATCACATTGCCAGTTGTCACTGGTCCCTTTGTCATCAACACCGAGTTTGTTGTGATCGATATGGACTCTCCATACAACGTGATTATGGGGCGAACATGGCTGCACGCGTTGGGAGCGGTGCACTCCACTTTCCACCAGAAATTAAAATTCGCCACGCCAGAAGGTATCATGGAGATCCGGGGGGACCAAGCGTCCGCGAAAAATTGTTTTTATTCAGCCGTTCGAGCCGGGGCGTTCAGCCAGGAGAAGGGGCGAGCACCGGAAGAGATTATGGAAAAATAGCAATTACAGTCCGGGCGTCCAGGAATGGATGACCCCCGGATAAACCTAACTGAACGGTCGGTTGAAGACCTCCGGAAGGTGTCCTTGGTAGAGGGAGAAGAAGAGAGGTATTTCTTAGTGGGGACCTCGATGCCTACAGCCGAACAGGAGGAGATGATCGAGTTCCTAAGGGGAAATACAGACGTGTTCGCCTGGAACAAAATGGAAATGACAGGGGTAGACCCCGAGATAATCACTCACAGGCTACATGTTGACCCGTCGCACAAGCCAGTCAAACAGAGGCCACGACGCATGGCCCCGCATCACACCCGTCCGGTCAACGAGGAAATCGACAAACTCCTAAAGGCCGACGCAATTCGAGAGATACAATTCCCAGAATGGCTATCTAATACGGTGTGCGCAAAGAAGAAAGGGGGGAAATGGCGTGTCTGCGTTGACTTTACAGATCTGAACAAGGCATGTCCCAAGGATGACTACCCCCTGCCAAAGGTGGACCAGCTGGTAGATGCCACAGCCGGATATGAACGAATGGACTTCCTGGATGCCCGAGCAGGATATCATCAGAT